GCAAACGTCAGTGGCTGGTGATCAGTAAGAATTTTTATTTCTTTAGCTCCATACCGGTAAGTGATTAATTTGTCGAGGGACCATACTATGGCGAGCATTTCTCTTAGGGACTAGTGGTCTTTTTCGATAAAACTAACCGTTTTTGAAAAAAATCCAAAAAACCTAAAAGTGATGGGGGACTTTTGACACTTTATTTTTTATGGTAAGCCTAAGGTTTCTAAAAAAATTTAGCTTTACCGGATTTTTATTTATTTCAATTATCCAAATTCCTAATACAGATATTTAGTAAGCTAATTTTTACTTAATAAATTTTGCAGTATTTGATTTAGCGATTTTGTTAAATCTCGGATCATATTTTGCATGGTAGACATAAATTGTGTCATACACTATGAAAGATTCATACTTGTAATCATAGTTTGAATAATTCCATTTGGAGGATTCATTCCATTCACCACATTTGCGTAGATTCAGTGCATATTATTATTGTTAGAAATAATAGGATTTGACCTTTTCTCTGAAGTTGATATAATTTCATTACGGGGTCTCTGTATAATACCATTTGGTTACGATGTGCTTGAATGCCCTGTGACAACTTCGATTTGAAATCTTTATATATAGGACAACCCCTGTAGTTAGCAGTGTGATTTCCTTCACAATTGCTGAATTTTTTTTTATTTAATTCATCTTTCCTAAGGGTGCATTTTGAAGTGGGATGTAAATCACCATATACCACAGAAACAGTGCGCATTCTATGCAATATGATTTAGTATGCTCATATTCTTGGCAGTTAGTACATTGTACCGGACTTCACGATGCAGCAAATATTTCAGATCATATAAGTTAATAAAATATTTATTATTTTCGGTTTTTTTAAAAAAGGATTATATTTTAATTACTTGACTATGCGTTGGGAAGACTATGTCTTCTTAATCCAACTTTACTTATTAACTACCACTTAATTACTGTTACTGATAAAGAGCATGCCTCAGCTTCTTTGTAAAATATGGTCGGAGGAAAGCATACCCAACGATTGGAATTTAAGCGTGCTCTGCCCAAACCACATAAAGGGAGACCCCGCAATCTGCGCCAAATACCGTGAGATAAGCCTCCTTAACATCGCGTATAAGGTTCTATTGAGCGTATTGTGTGAAAGCTAAAAGCTCACCGTCAACAAACTGATTGGTCCTTATCAGTTAGGCTTGGCAAATCAACAACCGACCAGATATTCCCGGACCCGGACCCGGACCCAGGACCCGTGAAAGGAGAATCGACACACACCACCTCTTCGTTGATTTCAAAGCTGCTTTTGACAGTACGAAAGGAGCTGCCTTTATGCCGCGATATCTGAATTTGATATCCCCGCAAAACTACAGTTTTCGTAAGAGCAGCAATTTCGTTTCATATATCACTTAACTCAACCTGCGGTTGCGATTCGCATCTAACCTCAAAAATTTGTCCACCGTCCTTCAGTGATAAGCATTCTGTGATAGAATCGGCGATTTTAACTTTGTCGCTAATTAACAGAGAACGTACATTTATATAGAAGGTTCAGAGTGTGCCAATTGTCATTACGTTCCTCTTTTTGGAGGGGTTGAGTTTTCTATTAGTGGATTTCACCACAAAAATATTATTAGCGGATTTCACCAATATTTAACATGAGGGAGTCGAAAATAGCAGAATTGAGCATTTCATTGTTAAATGAGAAAAGTGATGCTAATTTCAATGTTTACAAATGTACGCTTACAGATTCGAGTATTTACAATGCGCAAGCGACTATGGATATCATTTATAGATATTATGAAAGATATTATATAAGTATGTATTTGATATCAAAGCACAAATTAAATATATACACATATGTATTTATATGCAACTTTACCCTTTTAATGATGAATTCTATTAAATCTGTTGATATGTATAATAAAGTCATATTTGTATTATTACCTAATTATTTAATTAATATAGGTATGATAAATTATATATTTATGTATGAATTTATTTTCGTTGGGCATTAGAAGTTATGATAACATCTTATAACCAAGTCGTCGCACAGATTCACATATGCATATAATTACGTGTACATGTAAAAAGATTCTAAAAACCATACGCATAATGTTCACATATTCACATATGTATGTACGTAATCTTGTGTGCACGTAAACAAATTTGAAAGAATCATACGGATAATGTTTGTAAATATGTCTAAACACAACTTTGTATGTAAGTATATCTTTACCGACTACAAAGCGTCACAGCATTATGTTGTTGGTAGAAAATCCGAGCTGTGCGGTAAAAAATAAATGAACGGCCGCCGATTGTCACCGCTTCCCTTGACGCTGTACAGCTTCGCCCACAAACCAGCGTAAATATGTATGTTTGTGGGTGAGCTTGCATACATATCGACGCAAATTTTTGCGAGCCGCGTAAAAATATTTCAGAATTACAAAATATGTTTTACATTCGTTGACAAATACAGTCAATCCCGGTTATACATATATTACATATGCCACAATCAAAGATACAGATTTTTATGGCTTGCGAAAAAAAAATATAATATGGTGCGAGTCGTACTTAAGACAATAATTTCTATGATATTTCAAAAAACAAACCGTGAGATGCAGCAAGATATAATACTATAGGCTGTTGTACAGTGCGAGTCGTACTTAAGACAAAAATTTCTATGATATTTCAAAAAACAAACCGTGAGATCCTTCTAATATTTTCAGATATATATTCAATTCATGATTTCAAGCTTTTGAAATCGTCGCGAAAAGACGCTTGTAGGCAAGGCATGCTCGGGGGATGTAATGGCGTCTGCTTTTATGAAACTACGTTTGGTTCAGGAATGAAAATTTTGTTGTTGTATAATTTACTATAAATTTTCGTCAAAACGTCGTCAATTTGGCTGCCATATTGATTTCTTATACAATTTCAGACGATTGTTGTTTTTGTAGAACAATATTTTAAGTTTTCGCGGACGACATATTTACATGTGTATACAGATATGTTTATATGTACCCTGCCAACCATAAGCGGGTAAAAAACCAGATAATCAGTGGGTAAGCAGCGGGTAAWMGTGGGGGTAAACACATAGAGTGTGCCTTAAGCCGCGTGAAGATTCTATCCTCACACGTACGTATACATGTGATCATACATCTTTGTTGCGCTCATTCAGCAGTGTCATATAAAAAAGTATATCTGTCCTGCTCTAATATCCCCCATCGACGGCTGATGCAGAGTTGCATTTTAAACAGCTGATGCAGGGATGCATTTTTTAATTTCTATTTTAAAAATTTCTTAAAATTTAAAACTAAACTTTTTAATTTTTTAAATTTTTATTTTATTAT